TGCCCTAGATACTAGGTTACCCCAATGTTCCTCCCAGTCTGTTGAGAACAAGAATCTGTCCAGCTTGGAGCATACTGGCCTCAACTGAAGGTTGGCCCAAGTGAAGTTATTATTTAGGAGTGGAATTTCTTTAAGCTCAAAAGTATCCACGAAATGGTTGAACTTTCTCATACTAGTTGTCACTCTGTCTGGGGTTGTTGGTTTCCTCTATAAACCACACTACATTAAAATCCCCTCTCACACAACACATTCCCTCCCAGAGGGCCCTAACATCACTCAATTCCTCCCACAATTTCTTCCTCTGCCTATAGTCATTGGGGCCATAAACGTTTGTTAGTACCTATTCGTACCCATCTTCCACCTGTCTAAACTTCAGGGAAACAGAGTAATCACCTATTAGCTCCTCCAAGCCGATTAGTATATCTTCTTTCCACAATGTTACAATCCCGCCTAAGGATCCCCAAGATGGAGCGGCCACCCACTTGATCCCCCTATCTCTCCACACACTCCTTGCCCATTTGCAATCAAAATCCATTCTTTTAGACTCCTGGATCATTACCACATCCGGGTTAAACTTCTTAATCACCTCTTTAATTGTTGCTCTCTTCCTAACACTGCCCAAGCCCCTCACATTCCAACTTAGAATTCTCATTTTAACTTCTCAAGCTCAACCCCAATTCCTCCACCCTCTACTTAACCCCTTTCCTTCTATCCCCTCTCACCTCAAACTTCTTGTCCCCCTCAACATCTCTTTTCAACCTCTCAACTTCACTCAGCTTTCTTTTCTTTACCTTACTATCATCTTTTTTATGCAGATAAACTTTTAGATCATTTGGATTCTTCAATTTACACCCCAGCTTTTGCACAAATTCTGCAACTGATTCTTCCTTGCTAGTTTCCTCCTTATCTAAAGTTCCTCTCTTCTCACTCCTTTCCTTATATCCTCCATCAATTGTCCTTTCTATCCCTTCTGTAAACCCCCTCTACATTTCCTTCCTTTCCACTTCACCCATTAGACCCTCAATTTATATCCTCCATCAATTGATTGTATTATTCTTAAAGTTGCCCATTGGATAAAAACCTTGGAACTTTTTTCGAACTTTAGGCTCTTCCTCTAGGAAACAAAGATCCCTAGAAGTTTGGTCACTCCCAATGGGTGGTTGGAAGAAGCTGAACTTCGATGGTAGTAGTATGGGTAATCCAAGTCCCTTAGGTATTTGAGGGGTTATTAAATATGAAGGCGGCAATATTAGTGCCTTATTTTCAGGCCCAATCGAGCAAGGAGATTCAGTGAAAGAAGAATTCTTGGCAGCAGTTTACTGGGTAGAGAAGGCTAAAGAATTGGGAATTGACGGATTGATTATTAAAGGGGATTCAAAGGTAGTTGTGGATGGCTGAAAAAAGGAGAGGAGGGTGACTTGGCAGCTAAGGAACGATTTCTGAAGATTCCTGGTGCTGTCAAAAGATATGAACATTCAAGTGCATTGGGTTAGAAGATCTGCAAACAGCTTGGCAGACAATTTAGCTAAGCAAGGTGTTCAAAGACAGTTTATGTATTGGGCACAATTGTAATATCGGTTGGGTGGCTTGCCTTGTATTGGGCATGCTTGTTGTTCACAGCTCCTTGTTGTATCTATTTCCTTTAGTCATTAATAAAATTCTTATTTGTGGTTTCTGATAAAAAAAAAAAGGTAAAGTATTTAACGGTTTCCCAAGTCCCTATTCGTTCAGCCCTTCATTACCATTCTTCAGCAACAAGAATACAGATTTTGAATAGCATAGCAATTTAAAGCCATTTGTTTCTAGCTATACACATAATTTTCCCTCTTCTATGCAGATTGTTAAGTGAATTAATTTTTATTAATCTTGTGAAGATTTTTCTTTTTACAACAAAATTGCAACAACTTATTTCTCTGACGAATCAAAGCAAACATCTAGAATACTCGCATCCATATAACGATTTTCTCCTTCCCCATCTTAGCATTATACTTTAGTTACTGCAGATTTTAATAAAATCTGGTGAGGAGGGGGAACGATCTCCAAATTAAAATGACTCTGCAGACAAAAGCAAAGCTTCTGCAGTGCAAATGAAACCGCAAAGTGAATCTCACTTGCATTTATCAACCTACCAAAAAAAATCATTTGCATTTATCATTGGACTATTGCTAAACAAACCCAAAAATGGGAAGCTTCTTCTATAACTTCTGGAGTTTAATTTTTCTTTCATTTTGCAACTTTGCATGGCATGTGCCTATCAGTTCTATGCCAATTATGCTATTGATCTGATGAGGGCCATATCTTTAAAATGCAGTTACCAAACAATAAACAGCATAGCTATTGAGGAAAAAAGTGATCTACTCGCTCAAATAATATAGCTACATTCCCAAAAAAAAAAAAAGATTATTCCACTGTTTACTAGCAAAACAAGGATTGAGAACAAAATCGATCACCAGTGCCACCAGATGATTTCGATGGACGACTCAAAACAAGTTTGACATTTTCAGATCTCACGGACGCTATGAGATAATCAATAAAGTCAGACCAAGAACCACCAATACCAATATCATCCCTCTGCACAGAAAAAGGGCAAGGTACAAAAAGTCAATAAAGTAATTAATTCATAATTAAATTTGCTCACATGCACGCATCCCATGCTCCCTTTTCACCTATTAACCAAAAAAATAAGTTCCCTTTTCATCCCAGCCCAGTGCAAATCTAACAAACCCCAAACTTAAAACAAATAAAATTGTAAGTTCCAAAAAGGGTTCGTAGATAGGGCTTTTCTCAAATGCACAGATGTGTTTCTTATGCTGATTTTGCTCGTTAGGCTTAAAAAAGTAGCAGGAAATCAATTACTTGGATTCCGAATTTGAATTAATCATGTTTATAAAATGAGTTGCTTGTCTGTCAAGTTGAGCAAAAGAGAAACAATGGAGAGAAAAGAAAGAGAAATCTCACCAAGTCTTCGAGCTGTTCAATGGACCGAGTGGCCGCCCAAGTACAAGATTGGAAATCCGTCACATGAACTCTGAGGTGAAACGAGTCCAAGGCGTGGACATGGAACATGAAAGGAAGCAAAGGGAGAGAACTTGGGACCTCCCACTCTGCTTTCGGTTTCCCGAACATGGGTTGAAAGCCTTCGAGGCTCTTTGCCATTTCTGAGTATCTCCTTCCTTCAACAACCCCCACAATCCAGCCAAGGAAACTCAAAGCAACGAGTAAACCGCAGGAACTTAAGGGAAGAAATAAGAGAAACCCAAAGAGAAGGGCATGGTAATATGCAGTCCTGATGATTCTCTGCTCCTCGGAAGATGGCAATGCCTCATTAGAAAGACTCAAAGACTAGTCTGCAGAGAGAATGCGAAGATTTGCCATGATTGGCTTGTCACTGACAGAAAGACAAATCAGTCGACGGTTTTAATTGTTTCGCGGTTTCAGAGAGTACTGCCGCCTTCAAGAGCCGCATTTAGGAATCGTAACGGGGCGGTAACCATACTATATTCTCCATCCCCGATCCCGACTTTTATGTGAGTCCCCGTCGGCCCGTCTTCGACCCCGATCCCCATCGCGGGTAAAGATTCACTTCATTCCAATCCCCGGGTCTCCATCGGAACCCGAATTCCGATTTTTTTAAATAAAAGTTTTATCTGTAAAAAACTTGCTTAAAATAAAGAAAAAATGAATTATAAATAACATATAAGCTGAAATTTATGTAATGGTACAGAATCTCTTTAAATTTAAAAATATAGACAATATTTTAAAATATTTTGATATATAATATATATATAAATAAATTATAGATAGGTACCATGTATTTTGGGGTAATGGCAAATAGGTACCTGAATTTTCAATTGTAATATTTGAGTACTCTGAACTCTTAAAAATAGACACTTCGATACATCATACTATTTTGTTAGTTAAACATTACATAAATATTAAAAATATCCTATCGTATATTTTTTAGATCATTCGCAGGTAATCAAACACCTCCCCACGATGACATTTCCACATGGACAGATTCAAAAATATGAAATTGGGAGAGACATGGAGTTCAATCCTATCCCGTCCCTGATCATTGGATCAAGTATCCTCATTAATCCTTGTCCTCTTTCCGTTCCTGACCAAATTGGATTGAGAAGGTATTTTTACCTATGAGGGTAATTAGATAATTTGGTAATTGATGAATGCTAATTTACCTTCACAACCCTGCAAGTGGTATAACCAATCTCCCGTCCAAATCAAAAGGGTGGGTGGAAAGAACAAACAATCCAATTTTATATTGAGAACATAGAGAAAAAATATTGAAATATGTAATTAATTCAAGTTTCATAAGTAGGTATTACATCAACTTTTGATTTCTTCATGGAATGGATTTCCCCATTAAATAAACAGATTAATTTGTTTGGTCATTCAAAACGTTGAAAATGGATGAGGAGAATATTAAATTAACTTTAAGAAGAAATAGAGCATATGATTACTATTAACTAACTAAGACACATAAATATAATAATAAAATTTTTAAATGGTCGTCTCGATGTGAAGCCAACGCAGGCATCAGCACTGTAATAGTTAACACGGAAGTCCCTTAAACAACAGTTTCACTAATTGATCCAACCGTCTGTGGTTCATGGTTAACTTCTAAGGCAGAGATATGGTGTAACTGTGTAAGTGTTGACAAAGGAACCAAATAATTAATGTAAGAGCCTTTGTTATGTATGTGATGTGAGTGAGTATTTATCATATATGATATATGGTATTTGAATCTAAATCTCGTGGTTTATATGGAATGCACGTGTACAATTTAAATTTAGTTTTTGTCTGATGAATTTTCCTTGGTTATGGGGTGTTTCTGTATTATTTGTATTTTTTTCTTCCGAGTCCTAAAAACAAAATCATTGGTTGTATACTGTTTTTTTAATTCAAACACTGAAAACAAAAAAATGATATTGAGCTTCTGTTTTAAATAGCATATTTTTATCTCTAGCAAATGATATTATATGGATAAAAGACTTAAACCTCCCTTGACGTTTATGCTAAATACTAAAACATCCTCTTTAATTTCAAAATAGATTAACTCTTCCCTATTGGGTGACATTATAGGACAAATACCTTCCTTCTCTTAGTTAGTTATTTATTAAGAATTGGTTGCGTGCGAGCTTACGTGTTTTGGATTCTAAGAACAAAAAAAAAAAAAAAAGAGTGGAGATGAAGGAAAAGAAGGTAGGAAGAGAGAGAGAGAGAGAGTTGTTTCTTGGATAAATGTTCAATTAAAATCTGAGTCAAGAAATTTTATGGTTTTTCTTTATTTTTTTGAAAGTGGTTCAGAGGAGCCGGTTTAAGGCCGGTCTACCCTCTGAACCATTCATCGACTCGAAACACCCCTTGTAGGAGCGTATCAAGAAGGCTCCGATACAATACATATCAGTTGATACGTGACAAAATTTTGATTCTTGAGAACTTGCCATCAATCACATGTCAATGTGGTTAAATTCATGGTTTTCAAAACCGGACAGGACCAGACGATTGGACCAGAAAAATCAGGTGATCGATTCCATTTTTTCCCAAAACCGGATTTGTGCCAAAAAAATGTTGATTTGGTTAGCAAACCGCTGACCCGGGTGGTTGAACCATTTGAACCGTTCAATGGTTTGACCTTTTTTTTTTAATTTTTATTTTTTTTGTTAGAATGAATCAACCATTCGGTTTAAACAGTCAAACCATTTGACCCAAGAAACAGACCCCGATCGGTTCATTATCCGAATCGATTTTAAAAACCTTGGTTAGATTAGAAAACACAGTGCAATGATGAGCTTTCTCCTGCTACAATGGTTGACCTTGAGGTTATGATTTCAAGGTTTTAGATACTAAACCATTGAATGATACGATTGATAATTTTAGAACTAGCTAAAATCTTAAGAAAAGCCTAAAACAGATTTAGTTTCAGATATGTTTTGATCACCCTTGCGTTGTCATTGTTGTTGTAGCCCAAGTAGTCCTGGTTTAGTCTTTTGAACAGTTGCTGTTTTATAAGTGATGCTTTTCATTCTCTAGCAACCTCCCGTTTACTAAAGGCCATGGTTTCAGGAAGTAAAGCTGATTTCACATCAAATTACCCTAAAATGTTTATGAGATCAATTGTGAGCAGCACTTGAAATGATTGTACAAAGGTCGAGTCAAGCTACAACGATCATTTTTGTTTCAAAACGATGAAAGCTGGTGGTAATCTTCAAAAGTTGAAGGATAATATAGTATAATTATGTCAAATATAACCACATCTTATTTAGATAGGGGATGTTTAAGTCCTACTAAAAATTAGAGGGGAGGTATAAGTATTTATGACAAACCTCAAGGGAGGTTTAAGCCTTTTACCCATATTATATTTCACATAGCAAATAGTGTTATTGTTCCAAAATTTGTTTTTGTTTTAAACCCCATCATTTTAATGATTTAGGGGGTGTTTGGAAATGTTAATGTTTTTTTTTTTTCCACTTGTTTTCAAAATTGTCACATTAGCAACAAAACAAGCATGCACTCTAACTTTGTTTGTTGCTTTTGAAAACTAAAACAATATAGTTTTGTTTCCAAAAGCAAGCCATGTTTTTTAAACCATCCACATTATGTTTTCTGAAACAGAAAACAAATTTACATTATTCAAACTTTTGATGTGGTGTGTGGTGAACACAACAAGAGAATCGAGGACAATGGGCATAAAAGGTTTCTGCCAATGAGTAGAGAGAAGGTAAGTGGAGAATAATTAGAGTAGGTTTTGTGCAAAAAAGAAAAGGATGTATGCTATTCTTTGGGAAAAAAATAAGTGCCTATTAGAGGGACTTAAACACCTTAAACAAGCTTATAAACACATAAAAAAAAAAAAGGGTTTGAACACATATATGGTGTCAAAGGAGGTGTTTGGTACATGGTGTTGTGTTGCCAGTTGATCAACACAAATTTGTTTAGAAAAATGTTGAAATCCATGAGCGCCAAAAGAAATTTTCTTTTTTGGACAAAAATACCATTTTTTGCTCAGTTTCTTCTTGTCAACTAAAAAATATTTGGAACCATCATTTTTGGGTTCTGGTCCACTGCCCAGAGCTTAAAAATTGGCCCTCCTTAACACCTTCTAGAGATTTCGTCTTTTATTTCCTTTCTCATGCATGGTGCCTAGGGGTGCTCACAGTCTCTTTGGTTTGGCTTGGATATCTCAGATCAAACCAGTAAATTATGGTTTGAAAAATTCTCAAACCATTTTAGTATAGAAACCAAATCAAACCATTCTATTACGGTTTAGTCTGGTTTCTAATACTATTTTGGCCATTCTATTGGGCTTAACTCAACTTGAAAGCCCTAATAACATGCATTCCTACATAAATAACAAATATAATTCAAATATCACATTGAAATGTTAACAAGTATTACTTATTACTATCATATAAATTACACTCACTTTCTCGAACACAAACAATTCCTTTGGCATCAAATTACAAGTCAAAAAATGAAGCAAATGTTAAATGAAAATATACATACATATGTATTATATATTATATACATTAATGAATATATTATTAATAATTCAATTTATGGTTTGGTCTGGTTTCTAAAATTTAGAAAGCCAAACCAAAAAAACTACAGTTTAAGGAATTTCCAAACCAAAGCATTAATTATGATGTTCTAGTTAGATGCAATTTGACAGTCTAGACCATATAATGAACACCCCTATTGGTGCATCATTTTCTTTTTTTTGGTTTTTTACCAAAAAAGCTATATTTTGCACCGCTGCACTTTCCCCGGGAGTCTGATCTTCTCCATCGCCTCCTTTCTCTCTCTCTCTCTCTCTTAATTATCTCTCACACTCTCTTCAAAGATTGATTTTATGGGCTTCTTAAAAGAAAGAGCTTAAAAGATGTAAAGCAGGTATGCAAATCGGGCCTTCTCTACCCTCAAAACCCAAAATCAGAGTTTTATGCTCGGCATTTAGGCTCTAAATATTGGTCAAAATGCTAGAAACAATATAGATCTTGATAGTATCTTTCCCTTCTATTGATGGGTTCCAAAAATTTCATGCATTTATGTCAAGAACTCATAGGTTCTCTAAGAGAGGAAGAAATTTATAGATTTCGAAGAGGCTTGTTGTCACGGATTGCAATTATAATCATCCATCAATGAAATAGAAAATCCCCATTCTCACAATTTGCAAACACAAAAGATGTTGTAGTTGTAACTACTAAGGATAGTAGTGTTGAGGTCATTTCATTTTTCTTGCTGATTTCCATTGAATTTTAATTTTTTTTCTTTGATAAAATGGGATGAATATAGCACTAAAAGAACATTAAAGGGTCTACACCATCTGGCCAACCTACAAGAGCTCTCAAACATGGAATAGAAGATCACCAACTAAGGAGGGAGGACTCACCCTGATCCATACATAAAACTAGCCAAATGGTGAGTAATAAAATCATCACCATGGTTTATATAGACAAGCTTCACTATGTCAAAATGATCCAACATTGCAAGGTGCCAACAAACAATATATATATTTTTTATACATAAAACAAATAACATATCTACATCTATGCATGGTTCACTTTGCAGGAGAGCATCAACTAGCATGGCACTTTTTTACATTCATCGATTTGAACTTTTTTTTTCAAAACATCATTAATTTTATCAATTAGAGAAATTTTATTAACTTTTTTTTTTAAATTCCTATTTATAAATATATTTGCATTATATATCATATAGTGCGCGATCTAGTGCTCCTTGTTAGAGGATAGCTCGAATGTTGCGCTGACGATGTCGATTGGATGAGCTGTAAGAAGATAAAAGTTAGATGAACCCAGGGTGCTTTACCCAAGGTGGGCACTCCAATGCTTAAGTTAGTGAAAGGTGTCTAGATGCTTAGAAAGCGAGAGTGCAAGAGAGTTTGAGAGCTAAATTGTGTGTACCTTCTCTGATTAATGGGATGCCTTTATATATAGGCATAGGTTTCCATGGACTACACGTATTGTGTCTGAGATCTTTGGAAGGATGTGGCTTACTAGCCTGTCTCACTTGGAGGTGGTTTCATGCTTGGAGTTGGCTTTCGTGTAAAGCAACATAATTTATCCACTTACCTTTGATGCGGGCAAGGTGGGAGTTAGGTCCATTGGTGAGGCAACATGATCCCAAAGGATTCAGAGATGACAATCCATGTGTGAAGGAGGTTGACCCCTACATCATGCAGATCACCAACTAGGCCTCAATCAGGTCAATGAAGGCAGAACGGCCTTACCGAGGTGGTGCTATGACAGTTAAAGCAGGCAAGTGTGTTCGAAGTGCTTCTAAAGTCATAGGCTATACGGTGCTGAGGTATTATGAAACCATTCTGGGGTGCCATGTGTCACAATATCATTAAAAGGCCAAACCACCTCATCAATAATAATCTATTTATAATATATTATACATATTTATATAAAATAACTAAAAATTGAAGAATCAAATTACTTAAAAACCAAAACTGGTCAATCGATTCGGTTTTGATTCAAGGAATTGCAAAAGCCGATAGAAATAGTTCAGTTTCAAAAAAAAAAAAAGAAAAAAACCATGATTTAATTAGAGGCTTTATACTTAAAGGGGAATAAAAAAACCAATGGTGAGCTTTGACCCAAATAAGGGATTTAGTGAGGTTATAGACCAATAATATAGCAAGGTGAGCTTATACCGTATCAACATTGGTTAGACTAGACGCCCATTTAGCATTTATTGGATTAGAATTTATGCACAAATACTGCCTGACCTTTTTTTTCCACTGCTTTGAAAATACACAATCACTTATTAAACGTAATATCAATAATCAAATCACTAGAGGGAAGCATGATCTTAAAAACAGAAATTTAAGAACGTGGTTTTTGTTTCAGTTACGAAAACAAAAATATATATGCACAACTACACCAAAATTTGTATTGAGAAACAATCTATTTTTCAAATCTGATTTATTTTTGAAATTATCAAACTAGTACCAAGAAAAACAATTTACATTGGTGAATGAGATCGGATTTAATCCGCAGAAAATCGTCCTGTTCACAGCCACCAAACATCTCCATTTTTATTTATGACGAGATATTCCCAATACACATCTATTAAGTGGTTGTGAGTAAAATGTGAGAACTGAATCCGATCTCTTGGAAATGCCCCCATTACACATGGATCGTTTCTATTTTTAAACAACAAAAAATCAATTCGTTTTCATAAAAATGGGTTCCCTCGGCTTGACCTCAGGGTCGTCAACTCGTTTCTCCATCTCCACAGCCTCAGTCCAAGTTGGGCACCTGGCTGGTCCGGTCAGACAGATGTAAGACCAAGCCGGCGTGCACGGGTCAAATTCAGATTTTGGTCCTTCATTTCTTTACCGTGAATTCACACTTCACGTCGCAACTCATCTTTGATCTTCCTAACTTCCTCCCAGAGCCCCGTCCCAGCGGTTTGCGCGTTACGCGCTGGGGCGTATTATAGGAAGTCTAGTCCTTTTCGAAGAAAAGTCGGGACGACGGAATATAGAAATGGTTATATACTTACATCAATCAACAGAAACAGAATTAGAAATTCTATAGAAAATTATATTAAATAAGAGAGGATTTGAAGAATAAGGGAAGGAGGAAAGGTGGTAGTGTCAAAGTCAAATACGCTTTTGTTGTTGTCACTTATCAGAGTTCAACTTTCTCCACCGTCGGACACATAAGCAAAACCAAACCAACTACCTAAACCCCTCATCAAATCTGTCTCTCGTCCGATAGGTAACCCATCCGGAATTCGATATCGTCTTCGTGATTTTCGCCAAAGGTTTCTTTTCTTTTTTTTTTTTCCTTTGTATATTTTCTCAATTCTCAATGGGTTTTTGTTTTTGTTTCACCTGTTTTTGAATTGGGAAGGATTTGAGGTCTTTTGTTGGTTGTTCAATTGTTATCTGAATCAGGGCAAGCCTAAAATTTTGTCCTTGATTTTTTGTTTTAGTCGGTTGATGCCTTTTACGGTTCAATTTCAACCGGGTTTCTGTTTGATGTCTTGAATTGTGATTTTCTTTGAGTTTCTGGCGATGAGTTGGAGAAAAAGTTTGACTAAATGGTAGTGATTGTAGTGAATTCCTTAGCAGTATTTCAATTTTCATTCGTGAAATTTATCTACTTCTGTATTTGTATTTTTCTTTTCAAAGGTAGATGATAAAGTTCTAACTTTATAAAAGTCTTATTTAAATTGTCCTCAACAGTAGTATTAGAAAGATGCATATTTCACCATTGCTTGCTATTCATAGGAGCTTGAAGTTGAAAGATCAGATTTTTCTTTTATGTATTTGTGGTTTTTAGGAGAGTAGAGGCTGGGGAAGTACAAAGTAGAGCAATCATGGCTAATAATGCTGCTGCATGTGTTGAGAGGGCGACAAGCGATATGCTGATCGGTCCAGACTGGGCAATAAACATTGAGTTATGCGACATTATTAACATGGACCCAGGGTATTTTTTTTTCACTTAAACTTCGTTTGTATTCTTTTACTTGGTCGTACTGCTGCTATATTGTACTTGTGTTTTTTTTTTTCTTTCCTTGATTACCTTGTAATTTCTGGTTTCTCCAATTGTATTGATGTTAAACTATTTAGATGGCGGGGAGGGATCTTGAATTTTGTGTTATGTTACCAGGGATGATAGATATTCGGCCACAAGAGAGATCATTTCATTCAATTCTATACCAGCACAGCTCTTTTACTTGTTTTTTTTTTTTTTGTTGAGGGCGGGTCATAATTGTTGTTATTGTAAAATTGCATACGTTCTTTCTCGCTCTTTCTCTCTCTAATAAAAAGTTACTTTCTTAAAAAAAGAAATCTTTAGCTAGACTAGCTTAATGTGGAGAGTTGTATTCAAGGCCAGTGCATCCTAGTTATCCATGGCAGTTTTGTTGCTAGGTGACATAGCAATATTGTCCTCTTTTTGTGAGTTCCTTTCATTTGTACTTTCATTTTTCTAGGATTCTAATGAAGTCTTCTTAATCTTGTTATTGAAGAAAAAGATAATTCCTAGCCAAAATATGAGTTGAATTTTTAGCCAAAATACGAGTTGAATTTGGGAGCCCAATACCAATTTTACAGGACTGAGCACCATGGAGATCTAGAATCCCATTAACGACAAGATGTAAAACCTCTGTAACCCCATATGATTGCGCACAAAACCCCTACATTTGTTTTGACCTTTTCTGACTTAAGGGGTTCCATGATGCTAGCAAAGCATTGTTCAACTAGCAAATTTCTTCTGTAGCTTACTTTGGTAATGGTAAAATCTTGGGTTATCAAGCATGAGAATGCAGCTTCAAGCCTGTGAGTGACCACTGTGCACAAAAAAAAGGCTAGGACCTATCCATTCTACCCTTCCAAGATCCCAGAGTATCTAGAACCAACATGGCCTTACTTGCTGGAAGCTAACAGGCCCTACACAAGTTTATATAATTTCTCATTCTTTGATGGTTTTGGGCACTGTCCATCTTAAAAGTTGGTCCAGTTCGATTTCTGACTAACTTGTGTGATCAGTTTTTGAACGTATAGTAAGATTGTAAGCCATGAAATCCTTGCAGGTAATGGGTATTCCCTTTACATTGTGAAAGTAGCTTGCTTAAAATTTTCAGCTGGAGAATCATAGGGCAGTTTGTTGGGGCCTCACAACAACCACCCACAGTACAAAATAACAAGGTATTTGAAATAGCAACAGCGAGAAATCTAATAGAAGCAAAAATGATAGAATTCAAGCAAAGACAAATAAAGACAAGCACCACAAAGACAAAGACTTACGTGGTTGGCCTTACTGCCTACGTCCACGGGAGAGACGAAATCTGTTTTTCACTATGAAAGAAAACTGAAAACAATACAAGTACCTTTTGGCTTGCAACCCAAACCAACCCTTAACCCTTGTATACCTGTTCTCCCTTTTCTCTCAATCCGAAGAGCAAAACAAGAGAAAAACCCACTCTCACACCAAGAGCACTCTGTATTTTTCTCTCATACCTTTTCTCCCAAATACCTTAACCCTACATACAAAAGAAAGCTTTTATATGTAAAACCTCTTTAACCTAAAGAGGGACCACACCAACCGTTAGATCAAAAATAATCTAGCGGTTGTAAAATAAGACACAATCCCAACACAGTTTCATCTTACACTTGGTTCTTTGTGATTCCTGACTGAGTAAATTTGGTTGGCTGGTTTCTGAGCATGGAGCCAGTTTGTAAACCATGAAATTGATTGTATGATTTGATAAGATATCTGCTACTATTAGGCTGTAATAAAGTGTGCTGGTTTATCCTTTATTTAAGACTATATGTCCCTTTTAGGCTGTAAGCAAATCTCCTAGAAGCTTTGAATTCTAGGAGACTGCTATCTGTGAATTAGTTACTCTGGTAAAGTACTTGGATCTGTTGTATGTTCTAAAATTTAACTCTGATGATGTTAATTTTTGTGGTTATTGGTATCCTGCAGTTTGTTTCTAATTATAGATATTCTCATTGCAATTTTCCTAATTTGGTTTGGAATTTCAGGCAAGCAAAGGATGCCTTGAAGATACTCAAGAAGCGCCTTGGAAGTAAAAATCCCAAAATACAACTTCTTGCTCTCCTTGTAAGGATTTATGTTTCATATGCTGACAACATATTATTTTTTTATGCATGATGCTTATGTTTAGAATTTAGATTTCCAGTGGGCCAGAATATCATAGTATGTGATGTATTTTTTCTTAGTTCTGTATTGTAAGGAAGCAAAGAGTTCCCATTATAGAATTTTTGGACTGACTACACGTAATACCTCTTTGTGAAGAAGTTGTGGTGCTGTATTATTTCCATAAAACACACAAATGTTTGATCTAATAAATGAATTATTAGTTATTTAAGAGAATAAATTTATAATTTTGCTTAGATAACCAAAACTATTTTTTTTGGATTCGTAAGACATTTGTAGATGTCATCAGAAAGAAAGAAATCTAATGATGGAGAATCAGTCATGAATGCTTTAAAAGTAATTAATTCTAATGAGAAAGATAAGCCATAAGCAAACCCAAGGAGGGGAATCAACAAAGATATATATATATATATATAATTTTATTTTAATGAGAAGTCCAAAGGATAGGTGGATTTGAGATAGACGGAGACAATCTCTCTTTCTCTCTCTTCCTAAAATACTCTGAAAAAAATCCTATATTTATGATAGTAGACTGATTTCAACAATAAAGCTCTCTAAAATAATGGAGAAAATAAGACTCAAGAGAGTTGATTTCATACTTTGTTTTAATGTTTTACTATTGAAATTTAAAAGATCAAAGGATTTTGAGGATTTAAAAGATTTTTGTCTTTTAGATATGGTGATTTACCACATTTTTAAAGGAACTTTAATATTTTTAATAAAGAAGATTGCTTTTTTTTTTTTTTTCATTTAATATGCATGCTTGTGAATGTGTTGGGACCCAAACACTCCCTCCGAACCCAACTATAGGAGTGGAGCAGGCCACCACCGAATAGCATTTCACTAGAAGACAGAGAGGCTAGCGTGACACGCGGCAGAGCCTCCCAGAGTTGGTTACACTGCCACCAGAAGATATTCTCTCCATGATTGCATACATGTAGGCCAACTATTTAAGGCCCTGATCATGTAATAAGTGGCGTGAATGAATATCCCTTTCATCTCTCTCTGAGTCRTTTTCTTCCTACCTTTCCCCTCTCTTCCCCCCATCTTCTGTTTCAGGAGGTTAAGCCACCCTCGAAGGGGCTTCCGAGGTGAGCAGTAACTCATCAAATTGGTATCAGAGCTAGGCTATCCAAAATCCCAGGCTTCACGATGCCACAAACACGTTCCACTACCGTGGATGAAAGGGTCGACCAGCTTGAGGTTGGATTCCACCAGGTGTTGAATGAACTCAAGGAACTCAAAGTGGTCGTCTCTAGCTTCGCCTCTCAGCAACAATCCAGCGAGACCAGTCACCTAGCAGGAGCAGAAGCCTCAGCTTCCAGTAGCCAAAGAATAGGGTATTACCCCATCGAAAAAGTCACTAAGATCAACTTTCCCAACTATTTCGGTGGAGATCCCATTCCTTGGATCTTCTGAGCAGAAAGATATTTCGAATACCATGAAACTCCCGTAGACCAGCGTGTCTCCATCGCCTCCATTCATCTAGAAGGAGACGCGATTCTATGGCTCTAGTGGTGTCGCCAGAATCATCCCTAGGTAACTTGGGTGGAGTTCACCGAAGCTTTGTGCGTCCGCTTTGGGTTGACGGCATTTGTGGACTACGACGAGCTTATCACTCGGTTGAAGTAGACTGGAATGGTAGCAGAGTACTAGCTCGAGTTCGAGCGGATGGCGACCAGGGTACACGGCTGGCCGGAGAAAGCCTTAGTAGGATGTTTTGTGGGAGGTCTTAGAGAGGATATCTGTCTGGAGGTGAGGGCTCTCCGTCCGGTGACTGTCATGGCTGCGGTGGGATTGGCTCGCCTGCAAGAAGAAAGAATCGACAACCTTTGTAGAGCTAGCAAACCGACCTACCCGAATTTGAGGACTCCTCCACGGGTCGATCAGCAGCCCATGAAACTGGCTGGGGATCATCAGAAGCCCATATTGCCCCGGCCCACTATGCCCTTCAAATGTCTCTCATGGGCTGAGATGCAAGCCCGACGCGAGAAAGGCTCTGAGTGTAACTAACTCTGGGAGGCTCTGCCGCGTGTCACACTAGCCTCTCTGTCTTCTAGTGAAATGCTGTTCAGTGGTGGCCTGCTCCACTCCTATAGTTGGGTTCGGAGGGAGTGTTTGGATCCCAACAGAATGGTATTTAAAACTAGGGAACCAGCCAAAAGTTAGTTCTTTATATTATAAAATTCTTATTACCTATGAGACTAGGTGCCCCAATGTTGCTCAGAATCGCCTAGATTCCTTGACAACTATATGTTAGTCTGTCATCCATCTGATTGTGGTTTTGTTGTTAAGTTCTCTGGCTGGTTGTAGTGGAGACTTGGGATCAACTCCCACTAGGGTTGGGGGTGTGGGAATGGAAGACAGGCTACCCCCCGTTGTGTAGTCCCATGAAGACTTTATAAAATAAACATATGTCATCCTGTCAACAACAATCTACTATGTTTGCCACTTTTGATTCATAAGATTGATATCATGCATGGTGTGTTACATGATAATTTTATTGATGCATTATTGATTATAAATTGATGCTTTTGCAACAATTGCATTTTCTTATTCTACCTATGTGAGAGTAAAGTGCAAATACACTTATCATTACAAGGGAGCTTTTTATGGCCAATTTCCATTTTTGCAATTTGGCCAATGTTATTGGATTATTGCAGGATATTCTATGTTGAAATATGTTTAGGTTAGTCTCTATTGAAAAAGAGTTATCCCATAGTTTCAGTCTATAGGTTTATTAAATCATACAATTATATGCTTGACATGAATCCTGGTTACTTACCAATGAGGTTAAATTCCATGGTTTTTCTGGTTAACTCATTAGTCATCATATGTCTTGCTCTTGAAATTAAGATTTGTTTTAGTCAAATCTGCTATAGGTTGATGGATTTGCTAACTCAGCCACCCAGGTCATTCATTCTTTTTATATATTATTGTGATTGGTAACAATTAATAAGAAATATTGGTATTTGGTAGGAGTTCAATCATCAAGCATCTTCTTGTTATAAGATGACTGACTGAGTACCACTTTTCCATGGGGGCATATATACAAAAATCATCTCATACTAATACAGAGAATGGATACAAACTATATTGCATACTTGGAGGGAGGTTCCCTATTACGTCCTGGCCTGGGTCATTTCTCTCAAGACCACTTCTTGCCAGAATTTCATCCAAAGGGTTGGTTGATCCCTGGGGATCTTTCTGAATGAGATGTTAAATTCTTAATGCTAGAGCTTGAGCCTCTCTGACGTAGTGATGGAAAGCCCAAGCCCTCAAGTTAACATCATTTCTGAGCCATCCAATAACCACCTGAGAATCCTCCTACCCTCTAGCTGTGCTGGGCACTTCGGCATATTACAGCTATTGATCCAAAGGCCCTGAAGTAGGGACTTTATTCTTCTCTGGCTGAGTTCCCAGGCCTCTATCTCTCTCAGACATACATATAGACACAAAATGCACACACACAACACATCATCATGCCAACAGACCTTTCACAATTTGCATTTTTTTTAATAGGAAGTCAACCCTATGAAATCAAAGGATCAAGTCTGTGAAGAAAAGTGCACAGAAATGATTAAATATAATGACAAATTAAAAGAAAGCCAATGACTAAAATAATAATGAATTTTATAAAGGATGATAAAAGATTTCTATTTTTGTTATTTTCTTCTTTCTCTTATGTTAGTTTAACATTTCTTATTTTGGTTAGAGAAAACTGAACAATGAATCCCTCATTGGGTTTTCTGCATTACTTGGAACTGCCCAAATATGATTCTGGAAAATCCTGGTCCAGGTGTTAGAGATGCTCAGCAAAAATTGTGGGCATAATGTATTTCAACAAATTGTTGAGCGAGACATCTTGCATGAAATGGTCAAAATAGTAAAGAAAAAGGTCCTCTTTCTCCTTGCCTTCGGTTATAAATATTCTATTTTCAATTACAGTATCTTATTTAACAATTTCTTCAAATTTTAACCTCCACAGCCAGACCTTAGTGTAAGAGAAAAGATATTAATTCTCATAGATGCATGGCAAGAAGCTTTTGAGGGTCCTGGAGGAAGGTATCCCCAGTACTATGCTGCATACAATGAACTGAAGGTGCTTATTTAACATTTTCTTTTATTTGCCTTTTATTAACTTATTACCTCAGTATTATTTGTGAAATAATTGTTCTACTGGTGATTGTTGTAAACTAGTAATCATTAGAAGCCTGCTTTTGAATCATTTTCCCATTCACGAGGAGTGTGCTAATTCAAATGTTGATCCCTGCCAAGCTTATTGCATGTAATGGTGTGTTGATATATATTTTACACTCCATTTTGCAACTTTGTTTGGTTTATTTTCTGTTTTTAATAATTCACCACATCTTAGTTCATGTAACATTTTTTTTTTGTTTATGTTCTTTGGTTCATATATGCTAGATATTGGACAAAGATGAATGAGTTATAATCTCAACCACTCACTGAAACAGTCCAAATAATTTAAAAAGAGAGTTTCTCCCATCATTTTGTTTTTATTCAATCATAGTAATAAGAAATCCATAAAATGTTTCATTGTCCAAGCCATTGGCCTTTACATATCTTAGGCTGTGTTTGGATTGTGTGGTGTAAGTGGAAAACTGGCGCAGATTCCTCTATGATTTGATGGATAATGGGAATGACTAGCTCCCCTAGCTGTTCCATTTTCAATCAAATCAATGGACTTGTGAAAACATTTGGCTGTTCTCAATGTTCTCTTCACCTTGTTTTTGGACCTTGCAAATCCTTTCCTATTGCTTGTTTCCACTTCTTGCAATCCAAATACAGCCTTACAGGAAAAGAGTTTCTTCTCCATGATAAATAAAATCAGTAGTTGGTGGCAAACATAGTTGCCAAGTTGATGCCTAGGTGGCAAATTTTTCTCGGGGGTGCCTTTAAACCATGCCTTTTGTTCAATTGCAACAAGAAGAGGAAGGTAGCACTTTATAATATTCTGTGCACTATGTTGCATTTTATTTGTGCTCCATGATACATATAATAATTTAGTTTAGTATTGATATATTGTTCATTACTTATTTGCTTGGTTTCTTGGTGTAATACTTGCTTGGATTTAATGTGCTATTACTTTGTTTATTTGCTTAGATTCAGTGTGTTGCAGTACTCATTTGCTTGAATCCACTATACTACTTGTTGCTTTGCCTTTCTTTTTTGTTTGGGTTCTTGCCATATGAAAATTTATGATTTTAAATACATCTTGTTGCTCTGCTGAGGAGAATTGATTATATTATATAATACTTTACCTTTTGCTCAAAAAAATTATATTATGGAATACAGAAATTTATAACTGAAAATGATACTAGGATGTCTTTCTTGGCCTTGGATCTATTTTCATAAAAGTTTGGTGAAAGTTTTAATGCTGGCTGCCAGTGTGACACAACCCTCTTTTATCTGGGCTTCAAATTAGCAATGTAAGACAATCTCACACTTGCGGAGCCTTTAGGCTGTGATCAAATATTAATGAAAATATATGTAACTCTAGGACTAGTAACAGCAAACCCTGAAAGTACTCTTTAAGTATCCTTTTCTGTCCTATATGAGCTATGTGGTCAGATAACATGGTTCTTTTCAACTTGTTTCATATGAACAGGAGTAAGCTGATAGAACCGATATTTTCTGGTCTGTAAATCTTCCTGAATCAGAACCCTAGCTAATTTCATGCTTGTTACGTAGTATGTTCTTAACTGTTCTTTTATCATTTCCCCCCTACTTGCAGCTAGTTGTAGTAGAGGTCTCTCCCTATTCTTAGATTTCAAAGTGCGACCAGTAATTCTACTCTTATTTAGTTCACAACTTCACATGTCCAATAAGTCCTGAATACAAGGCTGTTAATGTGCTGTCATGGTGTCTAAACACACCCCATATGCCTGATTGCCCTGAATTTTCAATGCTTTACCCATCAAGTTCAGTTTGAGGCTGTTTTCTGGTGGTGGGTGCTATTTTCGAGAATCTAAACTGTCAATTGCAAATAAAGATGAAGCAATATGTGGCCAACCTCTCATCATGATCCACCAAGAAACCATAGAGTTTTAGCCCAATGAACGACCTTTATTGTGATGTTTTCATCATTGCTTCTCTTGTTTGAGTGTCTTTCTTGAAAATTTTTGCATTTCTCTCCTTCTAAAGCGAGAAAAGTATAGCAGCCTGGTAAAACTCAGATTTGATGTTCGTATAAGTTCAGATCAGAAGAAAGAGAAGAAGAGAGAGAAGAAGGAGAAGAAGAAGAAGGAGAAAAGGTCACAACTGAACTAGAGAGAAAAAAATCCAAACCCCTCTAGTCAGCCCTTCTTTTATTTATACTCTTCTAAGGTATACAAGAATTACCATTGTGCCCTCACTTAAGTGAGAGCCACATCAGCTGAACAACTCATATATAACTAAACATAAAAGGACTATACTACCCTTGTACAGCCGACTCTAACACTCCCCCTAAAGCTAGTGAGTATATGTCATATAGTCCCAGCTTGTTACATATGTAGTCCACTCTTCCCTGATTCAACCCTTTGGTAAACAAATCTGCCCATTGATTTCCTGTGTTCACATATGTTGTACTTATCACTCCACTAAGCACCTTCTCATGTACAAAGTGGCAATCCACTTCTATATGCTTCGCCCTTTCATGAAACACTGGATTAGAGGAGATATGAACTGCAGTTTGATTATCACAGTATAGCTTCATAGGAGTGTCAATCGAGTATTCCATCTCCTCTAGGAGATGCTTCAACCATACTAGTTCGCATTTTGTGTGTGCCATAGCTCTATATTCAGCCTTTGCATTACTTCTTGCTACCACTGTCTGCTTCTTACTTTTTCATGTCACTAAGTTCCCACCAAGAAAAGTGCAATACCCTGTAGTGGACTTTCTGTTAGATACAGAACCGGCCCAATCTGCATCTGTGTATCCCTCTATCTCAAGACTTCCTCCACTCTTATATAACAAACCACGACCTGGAGCTCCCTTCAAATACTGCACAATCCTTAGGACTGCCTCCCAATGTGGAATTTGAGGGTTCTGCATAAATTGACTCACTATACTGACCGCAAATGAAATATCAGGTCGAGTGATGGTTAGGTAATTAAGCTTACCCACCAACCTTCTGTACCTTCCCGGATCCTCGAACTCCTCACTTGTATCACTACCCAATTTAACATTCAGTTCCATGGGTGTTTCAGTTGGTTTGGCACCCAACAACCCTGTTTCTTCTAGCAGATCAAGAACATATTTCCTCTAGCACAGATTAATACCATTCTTGTACCTTGCTACCTCTATCCCTAGGAAGTATCTTAATTTTCAAAGATCCTTTGTCTGGAAGTGATCATGCAAGTAAGTCTTTAACCTGTCAATCCCTGGTCTCTCACTGCCTGTGATAACAATGTCATCTACATATACCACCAAGAGAATCTTCCAAGCATTTGATTTGGAAATCTTCCAAGCATTTGATTCATAGCTGAATACGGAATGGTCAACCTGACATTGTTTCAKTCCAAACTTCTTCACCACTTCACTAAATCTCCCAAACCATGCACGGGGAGATTGTTTAAGTCCATAAATAGCCTTCTTAAGTCTACATACCTTCTCACCCTCCCCCTGAGCAACAAACCATGGTGGTTGCTCCATGTACACCTCCTCAAGAAGATCACCATGCAAAAAAGCATTCTTGATGTCAAGCTGAAACAAGGGCCAATCAAACATAGCAACAAGAGAAATCAGAACACGAACTGACCCAATTTTGGCAACCGGAGAGAAGGTGTCTGTGTAATCAATACCATATAACTGTGAATAACCTTTGGCAACTAACCAAGCTTTCAACCGTTAAACATTCCCATCAGGTAAGTATTTAACCATATACACCCACTTACAGCCTACAACATGCTTACCAGGAGGAAGAGTGGTGAGGTCCCACGTATGAGTACGAGTTAGGGGCGAGAGTTCTTCTTCCATTGCTTGGCGCCACCCTGGAGAAGTGAGGGCTTCCTGGACATCCTTGGGAATAGAGACAGAGGATAACATAGAAACAAACTGGCGATGGGAAGCCGAAAGGTGAGATACAAAAACATAATTGGAAATGGAGTGGAGAGTGCAATTGTGTTTACCTTTCTGTAAAGCAATAGGAAGATCAAGGTCAGAAATTGGGGTTGGGATTGGCGTGGTAACAACTGCCGGATCTGTTGACGGTGACGAAGCTGGAGGAGGAGTCGGTGCCTGACGATGTGTATACACTTGCTGGATAGGTGGTCCTCTCTCAGGTAGCTGCACCGGAGGCAAAGACTGAGTCACAACTGGAACAAGAGGAATGGGGTCCTCAATAGGAATTGGAAAAGGGGGTGATGGCAACGAAGGAGAAGAAGTATCCGACCCGGAGAAGAAAGGAATGGACTCAAAAAATGTAACATTAGAACACACAAAAGAACGCTGAGAACGAGGATTATAACACTTATACCCTTTTTGAGTCCTAGAATAGTCAAGAAAGACACGCTTAGTGGATCTAGCATCTAATTTGTCCATTCCAGGCCCAAGATTATGAACAAAACACACACATCCAAAAACGTTGGGAGTAAGGGGAAAAGGAGACAACGTGGGAAACAAAACAGAGAAAGGGGACTGACCTTCAAGGATAGACATGGGCATGCGGTTAATAAGAAAGCAGGATGTAAGCATAGCATCACTCCAAAAGGGTTTGGGGACATTCATATGATGTAAGAGGGACCGAGTAGTTTCTAAAAGGTGACAGTTCTTTCTTTCAACCACCCCATTTTGTTGAGGGGTGTAGGTACACGAGGTTTGATGGATAATGCCATGTTGATCCAAATATTCTTGAAAGGGTGTGGAAAAATACTCATGGCCATTATCAGAACGAAGAATTTTAATATGTACACCAAATTGATTGCGAATTTCAACATAAAATTTCTGGAAGATAGAAACCAGTTCACTCGTTTCTTTCATAAGGTAAAGCCATGTCATCCTTGAATAATCATCAACAAAAATTGCAAAGTACTTGTAACCATTATAAGACACTATTCTGTTTGGTCCCCAGATGTCCGAATGGACTAAAGAAAAAGGAC